CCAAAATCTCTCTCTCTCCTCTGCATTCCTCTCTTCTCCAGGTGCATACACGCTTATTATGACCCACTTCTCGCATCCAACCTTTACTTTAATCCACATAATTCTTGAATTTACACATTCATATTCTCTTTTCTCCTTCCATAACTGATCATTTAACATTACTGCTACCCCTTCCTTTGCTCTAACTCTCTCAGAGTACAGAATAACAAGTCATCATTTAACTATTGTGTCCTTCTTTGCCACACAGATGATGAAACCAAATGCTGAAGTATGTGGCTAGCCCTATACTCACTATTTGAAAACTATGTGCTTAACTGACCACTTATTTAATAATATGAAGATAGTATAATAAACTATGTAACATGTCACGGTATTTTATTAATGAAAATAAGATACCAGATATATTAAGCAAATTTCCTAAATTTGCTTGTAATATATAAGTGAACTGTAGATATAAATCTAGATGTACACCTGTTAACCGTTTTGGGGCCTAGCTCCTGGGCCTTTTGTGTATCCTTATGCTCTTGCACTACCGTCCACAGGATGGATATGGGGTGCACAATAATCTAGCCACTTCGGTGGCAAAATCTAAATCTAATCAAGTGTCAAAGAGCTAGTGAAGTCGGTCTATAAAGGAAGACCATTACTAAGTAACAGTTGAAAGTGGTTGGTTATCTTTTATCCGCTCCTTCCTCCTCCTCCTTCCCCTCACACCTCTTTCACCCATTTCCTTCCATCCCTTTCTTCTTCCTACACCTCTTTAAAAGGGTTCTGGCCATAGCTCGCTTCGCTTCGGAGAGACGCGTTGCAACAAGCTTAAATTGGGACAACGTTTCGCTCTGTGCAAAACTAAACGTTACCAATATAAAATCTTGTTTGTCTGGCTACGAAGTCGAAGAGAAGCAGGGAACCAGGTCTCGATCCCTCAAGTACAAATCAGAGTTCAGATCAGTAAATGCACACAACAGGAATAAAATAGGAGGAAGCTAGGGGAATGATGATGAACCACGCCCTCACCTTCCTAGTATTAAACTTGCTTAAGCCTCTCTCACCTCTCCAATTCTCCAAGAACAGTATGACACTAAAGGATTTTGTGTTTCAACACGGTCATAACAATAATACCTGGAGTATTCCTGGAGAGGGTTTCGGGGGTCAAGGCCCCCGCGGCCCGGTCTCTGACCAGTCCTCATGGTGGATCAGGGTTTGATCAACCAGGCTGTTACTGCTGGCCGCACGCAACCCAACGTACGAACCACAGCCCGGCTGGTCAGGTACTGACTTTAGGTGCCTGTCCAGCGCCTTCTTGAAGACAGCCAGGGGTCTATTAGTAATCCTCCTTATGTATGGTAGGAGGCAGTTGAACAGTCTTGGGCCCCTGACACTGTGTTGTCTCTTATCCTGTTAGTGGCAGCCCTTTTTTCCACTGGTGGGGGGGGATGTTGCATCGTCTGCCGAGTCAAATAATAATAGAATAATATGAGGCTACCAGATTACAACCGAATCATGTTCAGAAAAAGGTAAAAAGAGGCAGAGTGTAGAGAAGATGTCATAAAATGTGGTAGGAAACAGGAAAGAGTTAGTCGAGGTGGTGGAAGCCAACTCCATACACTCTTGCTAACGATTCAAATAACATCAGATGCCTGAGAGAGGTGGTTAGGGGAGTGAGGGAGGGATAGGGAGAAGGCAGAGGGATGGAGAGAGGATGGACGTTCATTTAACAGGAGGGAGGGGAAGAGCAGAATGGGTGAGTCCAGAGGGTGAAGCAGGGAAGCTAGGGTGAGTGAGAGGGGATAGGGAGAGAGGGGAGAGTTCATGTGACAAGGATTCGCGATGGGGAATCAACAAAGGGGACTTGTTTATTTGTTTTCGGATGTTCTTAGAGGATAAGGGGAAATAGGGAGGGATAAGGGGAAATTGGGAGGGTGTAGAGGGGACGTTAAGGGATGTATTTGTTTGTATATACACAGCAAACAAAGATTCAACCGCAGTGTGTTTCTGCTCTATTATTCAATATATATATATATATATATATATATATATATATATATATATATATATATATATATATATATATATATATATATATATATATATATATATATGTCGTGCCGAATAGGTAAAACTGGTCAATTAGCAAGAACTCATTTAAAATTAAGTCCTTTCCATATCTTAATCCAACTAAAGTTTACAATAATTTGATAATAAACAATGAAATACATATTTTTGGTTAGGTTCAGAATAATTTTTGCAAAATTATTTCATACCCAAATTTTCGCTTGCCTTATTCGGCAAGAAGAACATTGCTATTTAAGCCAAAATCGCAAGTTTTACCTGTTCGGCAAGACATAAATACAAATCTAAACTCAGCCTAAGCTAAATTAACTAAAACAAAATTAACGAATTAAATAGGAATTTAAAAATTTGATAATATTCTGAAAATGGCGATGACTGCCTTGTCAAAAAAAAATAATTAAGAAAAATGAGAATAAACAGCAGGAACGTTGAATTTTTCAAACAATCGTTTTATTAATAAAACGATTTACTCATTTATATTGTATAATACAATATAAGCTATTCATACATAATCATAAAAGTAAAATATCATTATAGACAAGACTTGATAGAGCGTTGTATTATTTAAAGACTTGGACGAGTAACTGCCCCGTTATTCCACACGAAAATAAATTGTTGAAACAGTGATGAGGCTTTAATATGCATTATCATTATTATTATTATTATTATTATTATTATTATTATTATAATCATGGGGAGCTCTAATCCCGTAGGATAAACAGCGCATGGGGGGGGGGGGGTGGAAGGTATTCAGGCTCATCTCAGGGAACTGGAGCACAGGTCCAGTTCTCTAGATCAAGAACCCCTCACCAGCGTCAAGGAACCTCCCTTGAAGGGCCTTAATATGTAGTAGATATCGAAGAAGGAAACTCTTCGCGTTTTGAATTCCATTCAATTAATAACCCAGGGTAAGCAAAAACAGTTAGTAATATGGCATATTTTTATTTTGGTTCCTGAGTCCTCTTACCTGATTGCGATTCACACAACAGTCTAATAGGTACCTATTTACTGCTAGGTAAATAGGTACCTATTGGTACATGCATCTTTCTCTTTCCCAAGTATTGAGCCTGGGTGAGGCAGAATGTATGGACGAAAAAGATTTTGTTCTTACACCCGGTGCTCATGTTTACCAGGCTGGAACTCTCTCACTATCAGCATCTGACCTAATGTCAGGTTGGATAAACAGAGGTACCTAGAAGGGAGAACAGCCAAAGCGTTTTCCGCCTACGGAAGCTTCATTGTTTAAGGAATGACTGGAGAGTCACTACTCAGTTCTCAGTGGCAGGGGGATTTAAATAGGATATCCCGACACCGTCGTTTTAAGCTAAACTCTGATTTGAGGGTGGAATCAACTCTCTTTTAAATACAATCAGAGAGAGTATAAGAAGAGAGAACTTAGAAATTGGGCTACGGTTAATGATACATTATTATAACTCATCGGGAATGAGGTAATCAGTCTTCGTTTGAAGAAAGGAAAAGTAGTTTCAGTTCGGAAGCACTTCACCGGTGAAGTGAAACGAACAATTTTTAACGTGCTTTTGTGACTAGGGTTGATGATTTATGTTATTGTTCTTTTGATGTGACTCGTGATTAGGGGGTTTTAATTTCGATGTCAGGCTCACCTAATAGTCGGTGGTAGTAGCAAATAATTTATACTTTAAATATATACTGACGGCCACCCTGGCCTGATGCATGCCAGGTTCGAGTACCCGTTTATTCTCTGTTCATTTTCTCATAGTCGCTCATTACGACTTATGTTCAGTGAGTGAGTGAGTGTGTGTGTGTATAATTATATATACACTGGTAATACAGTATTCATAACAAGGAAACTGGCGTTATAACATTCTTAACAAGTTTGTTGAAAAGACAATATTGACAGCGTTACTAAGTTTTACAATATCACCTTCATTGTCTTGAGAATCAACATTTCTGAGGAGAGGGAGCAGAAAGAAAGAGTTGGGAAAGGAGAGGGAGAGGGACAGGAAAGAGTAAAGACATGGAGAAATGTCAGTGGAAGAGAAGTGGTCAGAGGTAAACAGGTGTGTCTGGATGCTGCCTGTTGAGTCAACACAGTTCTGGTGTTGATGTTGGAGGAAGAAGAGAAGGGAGAAGAAGAGAGGGGGGAAAAGGGAAGGAAAGGAGATAAAGAAGAAAATGGGAAAGGAAGGAAAGAAGGTGAGATTACATACCACTACTCACTTCCTAACTCACCATGCACATTACACAAGCACGCCCTCCATACACATTCTCTAAACACACACACACACACACACACACACACACGCACACACACACACACACACACACACACACACACACACACACCACCCTGCTTGGAGAGCCATAATAAATGGCTAAACTTTTGTCTTCATACGTCACATTCCTGAGACCTAAAAATTTATTCTCAGATATAACTTTCCCCCGGCTTAAATTTATACTTATAAACACAAAATAAATTCGAAAATAAAAGCTAATTTAAAATATCGCAAATATATTTGCTGCATTAATATTATCATTTCATTCAAAATGTATATTTTTAATTATCGTTTGTTGTTTATATTACGTCTTTTTATGGGTAATTACTTCTTTTTTTTGACACAAAAATTCGGTTGGTGTATCTTTGGATCTCTCAAAAGGGAGGACAAGACGACTTATTATTAAAGTGGTAAAGAAACAGTAAAGTAAGATAACTTATTAGTGAAATGAGTTTCATACACTCATAAACATACACACTCATACACATACAAATGCCTACCCCCTTCCCCTCCACCCCCCCACACACACTAAACCTGTGGTTATACATTTAGTATTTAATCTCTCTCTTTGGTTATAGGATTAGAATTTATTGATTCTGTGGTTGCATGCTGAATATTTAATGTCTCTGTACCAGTAGGTTCGGTACTAAATGTCTCTCTCTCCGATTGCAGGTTCGGAATGACTGGCAGGTGAGAGGAAGACCCAGCATGGACTGGGAGCAGTTGGCCGTCTTGCTGACGGTGTGGGCAGCAGGTGGGTGGCTGGCGGCGGCCGGTGAGCAGGTAACTAGCACCGTCTGCCCGACCTGGGAGGAGAACCCCTGGTGTCCCTGCTACCACTTCGACGATGGTGTCTTCCTAGAGTGTCCCGCGGTGTCCCTGGGAACGGTGGCCAAGGTCTTGGGACTGGTCAGGCGTCCAGTCAAGTCTCTTAGTATCTACGACCTGGACACAAACGTGACGTCTCTAATGCCAGGCATCTTCACCAAGAGTGCTGGAATTTCCAGTTTGCAGATCTCGCATTCCAGTATACAGAATATTGCGGACGGCAGCTTCCGGGGGCTAGAAAAATCCCTACAGAGTTTGACGATCATGCACAGTCAGCTCTCTTCTGTACCCCAGGCGGCACTGCAGAAGCTCTCCAGGTTAAGGTCCTTAGACCTGGAATCAAATAACATAACAGAGCTGCAAAGTTATAGTTTTTTTAACATGAAATTATTAACTCTTAACCTTAAAGGAAATGGAATAAAATTAATATCAGAATACGCCTTCGATGGACTAGAAGAAAGTTTAGAAGAGTTAAATCTAATGAACAACAAACTCAAACAGCTTCCAATTCCAGCCTTGCGGCGGCTTAGCAAATTACGAACGCTGAAGGCCACCTGGAATCATATTTCAGATGTGGTAAGTGACGGGTATTCTCGCCTTCCAGCGCTGCATGTGCTGGATCTGAGCAGCAACCACTTCAGTGAACTCAACAGCAACACCCTGGCCACCATGCCCGCTCTAGTGTCCCTCTCGGTGTATATGAACGATATCTCCCACATCGCAGGGGATACATTCATCCAGAACCCGAGTCTCAGGTCCCTCTACCTCAGTCATAACAATATCCTGACACTATCTTCTGAGACTTTCTCCTACTCGATGAACATTCGAGTGATAGACCTTGGTGAAAACCACCTTCATGCGATTGAGGATGGCTTGTTCAGCAATCTTCCAGAGCTGCAAGAAGTATTTTTGAACAACAACAACATACTGAAGATCAGTAATGAAACCTTCGCCAACTCGACCAAGATCACCGTTCTCTATCTCCAGAATAACGAGATTCATTCCATAGAGAGTGGGGCATTTGCCAACATGGAATTACTCTTCAATCTCCAGCTCAGTTCCAACAACCTTGAGGAGATCCCAGCTGGGCTCTTCTGCAACACTCGAGTACTAAATTCTCTGAGTTTAGATGACAACAGAATCACATTGCTGGCAAATGGTACCTTCAGTCATCTTGCTGAGCTTAGGGAGCTCAGATTACAGAATAACAGACTCACTAAAATAGAAAGAGAAGTGTTCTCCCCGCTCCCAAATCTCCTTGAGCTGCATTTACAAAATAATCACATAGAAGTCATAGCAAAAGAAGCTTTCTCCTCGCTAGAAAATCTGCAGCACTTAAATATGGAGGGTAACCGGTTGATAGAAGTCCCTGATGCTTTAAGCCGGTACCCTGCAAATCTAATAACACTTAATCTGTCCAAAAATCAAATAAAACATATTCACGCTGATGCATTTAGGGGACAAAACAAACTAGAAATCTTCTGGATGAACGACAATAACATCACAACGCTCTTGAATATTTTGCTCAGGGATCTGTCTTCCCTACAGGAGCTATACCTTGAAAATAACCAGATCAACAACATCCAAGATAAATGTTTTAAGGATATTAAGAAGTTAGAGCATCTTTCCTTATCCAACAACCAGATGCAGCATGTTAGTTCGTTACTCTTCGAGGGTCTATCCTCACTGGAGAATCTCCACATGGATAACAACAAGATAATGGACATAGAACCACAAACCTTCCAAAAGTTGAAAAAGCTGAAAGAACTCGACCTGTCTAACAATCAGATCTTTGTCATTCGGAGATACATGTTTGAAGGGACGATCCCCATCAGAACTCTAAACTTGATGGGTTCCATGATTAATGAGATCGATTCAGATGCTTTCAGCGATTTACTGTATCTTGAAAACCTCAATTTGCAAAGGAACATGCTAACCCACCTCAACAGGCTGTTCCTCAACGTGCGAAGCATTAGGAATCTCAATCTAGCAGATAATAAATTTGAAAATATAGAAGAAGACTCGCTCTATAGTCTACCCAATATGGACACTTTGGATATGAGTGGCTGTGGGCTTACAAAGCTCCCACCTCATTTATTGGCAGAGGCATCAGAGCTCAGATCTCTCAATCTGGCTAAGAACAACTTTAGGGCTCTTACGGCTGCACTCTTCCAAAAGATGCGAGGCCTGCGAGAGGTGGATCTTTCCTATAATAATTTGACCAACGGAATTATCACTTCATTAGAGGGTCTTACGAAACTTGAAGTGCTAAAACTAAATGGTAATCCTCTAGATGAATTAATTAATTCTTTGAAGGAGATGGTAGGACTACGAGAGATCTACTTATCAGAAGCAAAGCTTAGACGCATGGACAATACAGTCTTCAACAAATTAAAACACTTGAAACACCTCGACCTTTCAAACAATAGCCTAACGGATCTCCCGCCTGGAATCTTTGCTAACTTGAGCATCGAACAACTCAACCTAGCAGACAATCTCTTTAAGCAGATCCCCAACGCCATGTTCCTGGATGGAATGCCGGTGTTGCGGGTCCTAAATATGTCTGGCAATCCTTTAGAGCGCGTTACAGGGCCTCTGGTTGCTGGAGGACCGCCCCTGGCCGTTCTTGAAGAGTTGGAGGCTGCCAGAACCAACCTGACGCTGCTAACAAGCCATGACCTGTTGCTCACTCCCAATCTCCGCAGTCTTAACCTTGAGCATGCAGCCATAGCTAAGATCTCCCCCGGAGGGTTCCGGAACCTCACGCAACTAACGCATCTTAACCTCGCCTTCAACCGTCTCGAGATTATGCCAAGGGAGAGACTTCGAGGCCTCAAATCTCTCACGCATCTCAACCTGACGGGAAACAGTCTCAAGAAGCTTGATCAGCTGCCCTCTGGATCAAATTCCTTGAAAGTGAGTAATTATCTGGTCCCGCCTGGTCGCATGCCAAAGATGGCTTAAAATACGTTCAAGCGTCGATCAGAGTTTTGAAAGTTTTGAAAGCCCTTGAACATAATTACCTTCAACAGACGATGATTCCTGACGTTTCATTAATAATGAATTTTGTATTAGGATCATAAAGTTGATTTATGATAACTCCATTCACATTTTGTTTTTCTTTCTATAGTTGCTATCCACTGCCTGGATTTCTTTTCGGTAAATGGAAGGTAGTCATCAGATTAGATTTTGTGCCCCGAAATTGGGTTTCCTACATTTTCAGTGTTGATATTACGATTTAAAAAAACGAGCGTTTTAAGGTAAGCAGATTCTCCATAAATTTTTGCTGTTGGGTCCTTTGCAAGATAAGGATTCTTTTTTGTTCAGATATCGTCACTCCTGTCAACCTCTGCTGAGAAGCTTGTCTTTCACTGAAGGTAGGTTCTGCCTTTCTATATGAAAAAGACATGTGCAGAGAAAAAAATATTTTATACAGATGACATTTCCCTCTAAGCAGGTCTTTATCAATTGTCAACCGTCATCTGTAAATAAAGATTTGCTCTGCATATATTGACCTTTTACCATATTTGACGGTAAGTCTTACTTTCTAACAGCTTTTTCTGTGATAATTTTTTTCTCTTCTCTCTTCTTTCCCGTCATCTGGTAATCCTGAGAACCCACTCACTTTCCCTTGCCTCTTGCAGGTATTAGACGCCTCGGCTAACATGCTGACAGAGCTCACAGAGTCGACCTTCAAACACGGCGGTGGAGTCGAAAAACTGGCTCTGGCGTCGAACTGGATCACAACCATCCACCCTCGAGCATTTGTGCCACTCAACAGCCTACGCCACCTCGATCTGTCCAACAACTACCTGGAAGGGCTGAGCACTCTCTCTCTGGAAGCCATTGAGAGGAGCCTGGAAACCCTCAAACTGGGAGGGAACCCCTGGAACTGTGGCTGTGAAGTGAGTGAACTGTGGTCGTGGCTTCAAGATCACCTCTCATACGTGGCTGATCCTGCTGCTCTCGACTGTGATATGCCCAAGGTGAGAATGCTATATGAGAGTGCCCTTTGTTATTGATATTATTGGTATTATGAAATAGGGGAGAACCTTGTGATAAAGTGTTAGATTATAGAACTATTGGTTAAAGCCTCCCATTAAATTAATTCCAACTCTAGAACTTTTTCTCTTGAGCATTTCCTTCAGTTTTTATCTTTATAGCTTTATTAGCTCCAATCCCCCCAAAAATAGGTACGATTAACATTTATCTTAGTTGATTCGAGTATATATTATTATTATTATTATTAGTAAGAGCTAAACCTATGAGGGTCATATAGAGCCAGCAGGAAAGCAACCCCTTGAAGGGTTATAATCCCATACGGTTGAGAAGCCTGTTTATTCTTTTCCTCCTTCAAGAACATCCTCTTTTAAGAACATAAGAACATCCTCTCGATGTTAAATCTTTGCCGCAATAACACACACTGAACACACAATATTTTTGTAGCACAAAGAGCTGCTTTTATTTATTATTCTGAGCTCCAAGTAAGAATAAATATAAATTTTGTGCAAATAGGAAAAGGAATATTCATTAAAGATTCCAAAATATATTGCAAACAAAATAAAAATGTCGAAATATACTGCAGACAAGGTAGCATAATATAGGAACGATTGCTGCTTAGAAAGTGAGTGAATTATAAATTTAATTTGGAGTTTTAGTTTAACAGTTCTCTTATTAAAACTTGATCCACGAGGTCATCAAAAATGTCATCATTGGATATCTGCCCCGAAACCACATTTGACAAGTTTTGGAAGTTTGAGAGCACTTCAAACTTGTCTGTCACTTCTGCGAAAGTCAGCAATCTTTCCTGAAGCGATGAGATAACAGCATCCACAATCCTAAAGTAGAAGCACCGGAACATGTTTGCGGGAAAAACTAAAACCGAACATGCCACCAGCTGGCGTCCTAGGCTGCTCATGCTCAGGACCGCCACTGCCTGACTTATTTACGTATATATAAGGGCTTCCCTCCTGCTACAATTATATTTTTTACTGTTAGGCTGCTATTGTTTTACTACGGTCTAGGAGGTCAATACAAATTTGTACTCTGATTCTTTAGACGCAGGTAACATTCATGATAATTGGAAAGTATAAACACGGAGTAGCGTCGGCTTAATCTCAGTATTTTCTTCCTGTTTGCTTCTCCTTTCGCTTATTTCTGTTTTCGCAACTCTCACTCCCACTGTTCCCCTGTTAGTTTTTTTTCTTCTCTCTTCCATGCAGGCACTGAACGGCCAGTCGTTCCTATTGATGTCGTCGTCGTCGTTCTGCCCTCAGCCGGTGATCCTTCGCCTGGCGATCCAGGATATCCAGAGTCAGTCGCTGCTGGTGTCTTGGCAAGCCTCCAACACCACTTCAGTCTATGGTTTCAAGGTCAGTAACTTGGGGCTTCATCGTCACAATGTTAGGGCTCCATCGTCCTAGCGTTGGTGCTTGAAGCTCGGTATATAAGAGCATCATGTCCGTAGCTTGAACGTGTAGTTAACTATGATAAGGCTTGTGGTTCAGTATGTAAGGTTTCCAAGGTCACGAAACTGTGCTTAAAGGTCATCTTTAATGAGCTTCGGGTGTACAACCTTTTCACCACCAGACAAGAGTATTTTAATCCCTAAAATAGGAGAGTTACATAATCTTTAAAGTAAACAACCTCAGTGTGTATATGTTACAGGTCCAAACTCTGGAAACGAATGAATAACATCATTTGTTATAGAATTAATTTTTTATTTCTTAATTACACATACGCTACTCGGGTCTAATATCTTTAACTATATTTCAAGTCGCTTTATGTATAATTATTTTATGAATTTACATATTACAGAATCGTTTATATATGTTGAAAGCAACACCACATATAACATCGCATTCACCCATGCATTAAACTTTTTTAGCAAACGGGTAATGCCGGAAAAAAATTAACTGATATAAGTGGAATTTACTATTATTTAAAGGCCTTTTAAAGGATCTGAAATATAAAAGCTACATGTTAAATAGTTTCGATTTTGCTGAGTGTCCCCCCCCCCCTTTCCCAAAATGCTGTTTACATGTTTCTACACAATGTAACTTTAATTATAATCATAAACATTGAAATAGGTCAGAAAAATCACCTCAAACCGGCGTCTCTTTGTAGTCTCGAATTCTTGGATTTGTCTAAGAAAAGGAACATCCGCTCTGTTTCACAATTTGTTTTCTCTGTGGAAAGTTAAATTCAGTTTCTGTCGAATTAGTACTGAGGAATTTCGTGGAAGACTTCAGTACATGTTACTTGCACTAGCAGTTCTTCTGATTTCTCTAATCATTTAGAGATAACCAGTCTCCCTTATTCTGTCTTTCGAATTATCTTCTTTTCTCCCTCCTTCCTTTTCTCTCACCTCCTTCTCTCCCTCTTTTGTTTTTCACCTTACCGTATCATGTTTCTTTCCATTTTCATTATCTCTATTCCTGAAATCATTTACCTCCCATTTTCTAATGTTTCTCTTCACAACTCTTTTCTCTTCTAATCTCCTTTATTTTCCTCTTTATCTTCTTAATTTTCTCTCCCACTTTCTATCTCTTCCATTATCTCCCCTTCTATCTTATTCCTCACCCTTTTGCACTGTCCCCTCCCCCCCCCTAATCCTCTCGATTTCACTTTCTCCTCTTTCCTCTCTCCACTCTCGCCTATTCCCTTTCTCCCCCACTCTCTCTAACTTCTCTCCTCCCACAGGTGTCGTTTCAGATGACTGCGGGCGACGGGCGTGTATTGGGCGGCCTCAACACCCGCACACTGCCGCCCACTCCCAGGACCTCACAGCTAGAAGGTCTGCGGCCAGGGACCAGCTACCTGGTGTGTGTACAGGGCCTCTCCTCCGCCCTCCGCCCTGTCAGCAGAGCCCGCCCACACACCCACCAAGATGCCCTCACCACCCACCGCCCACCGGTAAAGAGAGCGTAGTATGGCGTAGGTTCACTCGTCACTGCGTAGGATTCCTAGCCTGGCGTAGGATTAATTTGGCAAATTTTCAATCATCACAGGATTACTTAGCTAGGCACAGGTACGCTCGCCTCAGCTACGTATAGATTCGACTGGCGGAGATTCAGTCGAAATGATGGGTCTTCGATTAACATAATGTAATATCGCTTAGCTTGGAGTAGATGACAGCCACTGAATCGACAATACATTAGAGAATACTAGATAATCACAATTTACCTTTCTTACGTCTGGTTTAACCTTTCTCGTAGTTGACCTTTAAATAGCGTGTCAAACCTAAAGTTCAACTTCTAAACATTAAGAACCGTACTTTACCCGTTAAAGAAAAAAAGATTGTGTACATTTTAGTTTATACTGTATAAATGTTCATAAAAATTGTATAACTAATTGTATAGCTTATTGTATTTACATAATGTATTTACATAATTATTTACATAATGTATTTACATATGTTGTGTATCTTTATATGTGTATGCTTCTAGACTGTTGTATTCTGAGCACCTGCAAAAACAGTGATAATGTGTGAGTGTGGTGAAAGTGTTGAATGATGATGAAAGTATTTTCTTTTTGGGGATTTTCTTTCTTTTTTTGGGTCACCCTGCCTCGGTGGGAGACGGCCGACTTGTTGAAAAAAAAAAAATTAAAATAATGTATTATATAATGTATTTATTGTATTTATATAATGCATCGTGATACCGGCGAATAATAAAAAAAAACACTTAAAGCGATCATCGACACCATGTCCAGCCCTACTAGGGTAGGTCAGGTGCCTAGCCCGAGCATTTAGCTCATGGAGGACTGTCATTCCATTTGCCCCCTTGGGCGGGATGGCAGACCAGAGAGGCTAGCTTGTGGCTAGGCCTGGGGACAGTTAGTCCCAAAGATGAGGAGGTACTTGTGCCTCCTCCCATGGGAGACTTAGGTCTCAGACACTCCCAAGACAGGGAGCCAAGGCCGGGCCACGACTTGGAAAATACCCGGGCCGGGTGAATACCGGCGAATCTTTAATAATAATAAGCACTTAAACTTGGATATTGAAGAAATACCCTTAGATCGATATATACCCGAACATTAGGGATCAATATCAACAGCATGTGTGCTGCTCTCTTAAACAGTTCGGTAACTCTGTTGGAAAGGTACTGTCCTGGAGTCATGCCAGACATGGGCTCGAATCTCTGCTTGGATGGGATTTAGATATTTCAGTGGTGTAATGTTAGAGATAAAACGAAAAATAGGTATGGTGGAAAGATAATTAGATGATTAGATGCTCACAGGAGATACGTTACACAAATAACCCGCAAATAGGAGAAGCTTACGACAACGTTTCGGTCCGACTTGGACCATTTTACGTATCACACTAACACACAAAAGTAAGGAGACCAGTATATATAGGAGAGGAGGACAGGGACGGGATAGAGTATGGAAAAAGGAAGTGGAGTACTAGTGGTAAGGGTAATGCTGGTAGTGGAAGTAGATGTAGTAGTGGTTGGTAGGGGGAGTAGTGGTAGACAGAAAAGGGAACGAAGTGAGGTAAGAGCAGTAGTAGTAGTGGTAATAGTTGTAGTAATCGGAATAGAAGTGGAGTAAATCTAAGGACAAGAAAAAAGAAGTACTGCAGGACCAGAAACACGGGGGAAAGGGGGGTAGGAAACTGAAGGACAGAACACACCTAGGCAGGAGAATGGACAAAGAAAAATAGGAAAGAAGAAGAGATAGGGAGAGGAGGAGAAGAAAAGATCAAGTCAAAGTCACGAGTGTTCTGAAGTTTGGAGCATTTGATAATGTAATGAGAAAGGAAGACATCTACATAGACCAAGCCACGACTAAGATGCATGTTAGGAAAGTCGTGTATAAGGGATGAGTCAACAAGGCGGGGACCGTGAAGACTAGAAAGAAGGGCAGACAGGTTTAGCAGAGGACCAGCCAGTAGGATGACTGAGATCTCTAACATGACAGGAAAGAGCCTTATTGGTGTCAGTAAGTCTAACAATTCTTTGTGCTTTTAATGATACGTAGTGATAATTATGTAGATATAAAGCGGATAGATAGAAAAGTGAGTGAGTGTGTGAGTATGTATTGGCACTCTCTTCCTCCCTATCTTTCTACATTTTCTTCAGCAGCTCGTCAAGGTATTCATTACATCTCTAGGTCCTCCCCTCACCGTCCCTCACTCACCCACCAACAGAAATCCATATCTTTCAGCAAGTAATCCAATTCTTCCTCCTTCAGTCACAGTAAAACTCCCTCCCTCCCTCCCTCCCTCACCCTTATTAACTCATATTTTCTTCCCTTCCTCCCTTCCCAGGATCTGGACACCAAGTGCACACGAGTAAGAACATTGGAGCAGCCTCAAGCCCAGATCGTCCTCAACAACCGCTTGGCCATTATCATTGGGGTATCGCTGGGCATCATCATCTTCATCGCCGTGGGCACCGTCATCTGCTGCTGCCAATTGTGCAAGAACAAGAGAGAGCCCGTCAAGCCAGATGCCCCTGCTACCCAAGACTACCTCTCTTACAGACACTTCTCCATACCCGGCAACGAAGGGAACTCTTACGAGGGTTATACGGCGTGTTAAGGACGCGCGGACATAGTGAGAGTTTTACATGCGTAATATATGTTATTTTTTTACGAGGTGGATCGGTAAGCTAGCGTGAGGCATCGATCAGATAACAAAAGACTTCACCGAGTGGGTAATTATACGAGACCATTGCAAGGATAATTTTCCTTGACAAGGACATTTTTCTCCTTGAATGTGAAAAACGGAAGTTGGAAGACAAGAATATATGAGTCGTCACGCTCAATGGACAACATTAGCTTCCCAAGACTATATGTCACTCGCCCTCTAAGGCGTCTCTGACAATGTGGGGACTCCAGTTCCTGCGAAGGTATTGTACCGAGTGAGAAGTGTTATTGTGTCAAAGTTATAAACTTAAGGATGTCGCTGAAATGTTATAGGTTGACATGTATATTTAGGCAGATCGCTTTTCTTTTGTTGTCTAGGTGTTTCAGCTTTGAAGGGAGCAATACTATTTCTTACAAAAGCTATTGTGATTTTGGAATTATAAAGCAAAGTTACCCGAACATAGCACAAACGTTGGTCTGATGCTACTAAAGAAGGCGACTCGCCTTAACCAGGAAAGAACATTTAAGACAAGGATCTGGGTCGTCTTCACAGGTTAACAGTGTGAAGCAGAAGCATCGTGAAGGAGACCACTCTCATATATTAAAGGTGGTTACTCAAATTTGCTAAAAGTTACAGAGAATATAGGTTCGTGAAAATTATGTCCATGGAAAGCAGCTCTAAGGAGCTCTGATTGGTACCGTGGTGCAAACCTATGTTGTAGATAAATGGTTCGTAGAACAGCGAGTTGATGAATTAGATACATGTTTAACACTTAGGTATCTTTATTGAGAAAATGTTTCGCTACACAGTGGCTTCATCAGTCTAATACAGAGAAGAATGGTGAAGATCAGTAGTAGTTTGATGCACTGTTTACATTGATTTCAGGCCGAGGGACTGATTACCTCAAAGTCCTTCTGATCTTCACCATTCTCTTTGTATTGGACTGATGAAGCCACTGTGCGGCGAAACGTTTTCTCAACAAATATACAAAATGTTGCATGTGTGTCTAATTTATCAAACCTATGTTATTAACTGATAAATGTGTTTTCATTTATTATATTCATTATTAACAGTATCGACACACATTATCATAATTTCGTTACTATGATTAAAATAATATTTATTATTATTATTATTATTATTATTATTATTATTATTATTATTATTATTATTGTTATTATCAAGTTCAGGCAATTTATGTTAGATTACAAACAAGCATTTAAGTGAATTTAAAACCAATTCTCAAATCTTATGTCATTTTTTCCACAATTTAAACAAATGCCAACTATCTATATAACCCGATGCACTCCACAACGAATCATATCCATGAATATCTGATATCTTTGGATATATTCATGAATATCTTTGGATATATCCAGCACCAAAACATATCTACGAGTATGTCTGGAAATGAGAATAGGATCACTAGCTTACACACGAAGGTCCTCGCGACTTGTATATATATGTAAAAAATAATATTAGTCGTAAACAAATTCTTGTTGTGTCCTGTGCTCTGGACGTGGCGAAGTGCTTCGTGTTGGGTAAGTGTGACGTTATGCTGCATTTTATACGCGTTACTGGGGTATCAGCTGCTGTAATGTGCCATGCTGACGAGAAAACAGCTTCCGCAGTGCTGCGTGGTGTGGGATGAAGTCACAGCATCCGCTGACTTCATTCCTATGAGCTTTTGACGCAACAACACAAGATTTCTTGAACGCTGCGATATGCCCTGAGGTTATCTAGTGATCCGAGATGATGGTGGGTGAACAGGCTGTTCTCCATGACTGATGTCAAGGTACTCACGCATATATCTTGTTCTCTGGATACATCAACTGACACTGATATTTACACGCTCTCGCACGCGCGCTCACACACACACACACACACACACACACACACACACACACACACACACACACACACCTGCAACCACAATTAGGTGAGTACACACACACAGTCATGTGAATGGGCTTGCCATGCATTTAACTAATCCTTTGCTTTGAGCTTAAGACACGCGATCTTCTTAACTGTCATGTCTGGTATTCGCTCTCAGCACCCTCATAGGATGATGAGGCACCAAAACAACAAAATCTACGACCTAACAACATATACTAGAAGCAGGTTAGGAAGACGAATAAAAAATATATACCACATGGATAACGGAGGAGAGATAACAGAAAAACTAAAACAAATATAGTAGGCAACTGAATTTAGATAAAATATTGCGCAAATACATAGAAAAGGGAAAGAATTTTTTTTGATATATTAGATTTAAAGTGAGCGCTAACTCCGTAAGGCTCAGAGTCTAGGGAATGGTAGGCAATTTTTATCCAAGGAAAAGGTGGATAGCTCCAGTTCCTTGAATCAAAAGCCATTCAGAAGAATCAATTAACAATAAGAGAATCGTGATGGGAAAATAACAAGAAGGTAAACAGGAATTAGTTCAGTAAAATCTGATGCAAGGAAACAAAATTGCAATGAAAATTTAAAACGGCGTAATTAAAACGTAAGAATAACAATACTATAATCTGACTGGAAAAACAACGTAACGTGAAGCGAAAAATGAAAGCATGAGTGGAAATTTACAGAGCAGTAAGAGGTCGTCTTCAATATCTTACGAGGCTCCAGGTCGTTAATTAAGAATCCAAGTCCCTCCCACGCCATCAACAGGTCGTTCGGAGTCCTCTGGTATTTAGGTCACCATATCATCAGGTCATAGTAAACCAGGGGTTTATATTATTAGATAATATGCAGAAGCTCTCAGGTCCTTCAATTTCCAGGTCTAAAGTTCCCAGGTCATCCTATTACCAGGTGCTCAATTTCCCAGTTTTGAAGCTCCCAGATCCTTAAATTTCTAGGTCTAAACTCTCCAGTTGCTGAAAATCTCAGGTCCTGAAACTCGCAGGTCCTGAAGTTCCCAGGTCTTCCCAAGTCCTTATAGCTCGCAGGGCTTGAAGTTTCCAAGTGCTGAAGTTCCCAAATATTGAATTTTGCAGCCCTATAACTGGCAGGTCATGAAGCTCGCAGGTCTTGAAGCTCCCAAGACCTGAAGCTAGCAGGTCTTGAAGCTCCCAAGACCTGAAGCTAGCAGGTCTTGAAGCTCCCAAGACCTGAAGCTAGCAGGTCTTCAGGCTTTGCAGGTCTTCAGGCTTGCAGGTCTTCAGGCTTCCAGGCCTTCAGGCTTGCAGGTCTTCAGGCTTCCAGGCCTTCAGGCTTCCAGGTCTTAGCTGCAGGTCTTCTGGCTACCAGGCCTTCAGCTTCCAGGTCGAAGGAGCAGGTCTCTGAACCTAGTGAGTGCAGCAATTAGTCGGGGACAGTTTGCCTATTCTAATGCCACTTTTTGACCCCTGGGATAATGAGACCGGCTGTGACGTAGTCTCGGAAGATGAACTAGCCCAACCAATTATGGCTTTTGTGACCTCGTATCGTAAGGTCGAAGATGGTGCAGATGGGAGCTGGTGCTCGAGAAAATCCAATTATAGCTTCTGTGACCACGCATCATAAGGTCGAAGATGGTGCAGATGGGAGCTGGTGCTCGAGGACTTGTTAAAAGATGCAAGTAATTATGAGTTTTATGCTCGTCTGTTATATGGTCGAGAATAGTGTTGGTACAGGAGGTGGTCAACTCCGAACTTACTAATCAAATGATTGAAGTTCCCAGGTGTGGCAAAGTTTAATAGGAAGATATTAAAGGAATGTGTGTTCAAATATCGGCCTTGTGTCTTAACGGCATATGGTCGAAATTTACGGGTATTATATCTAAAGAGAGTTGGGAAGCCTCATTAATTCAGGATCTTTTATCCTTTATTGGGGGAAAAATAAAAATATATAAAGAGTTTTTAGAAAACATTCAATAATGAGCCTTTTTACCTCCTTCCTTAAGGTTGAAATGAGAATTTTAGTTGATACGCTAATTTAACGGCTTTATATCTTCTTGTCGTAAGGTCGAGAATGTGATGGGATTCAAGTGTTTAGGATAATACGAAGAGGTACATAAAAAAAAAGCCTAAAGGCTTTCTTACATAGAGCCTAAAGTTGCGTGGCCTTTTCGACCTATTAGAAAAATAAATTCAAGTAATTTTGTTTACTAAAATAAATTCCTAAGTCAGTCAAATCTCAGCTCATCGATAAATGAGTTAACGAATTGGTCCATCAGTCCCTTAACTAATCACCCAGAAAGCTCAGTAAAAGTATTTGTCTAGCAAATTAATCACTGGTTGTTAAACACATTAACAAATACTTAGGGTATTTGATTATATTTTATGGTATTTTATGGCCTCATATACCTGATTTTCAACAAATTAATAACTCAACTAATCAAGGGAAAAACTGTCCAACTGTCTCCAGCAAGTGCCTGATCAGCCTTGTTAACATCAAGAGTCTGATGGATCAGGCGGATCCATCAGACTCTTGATGTCAACAATGTATCAGTGTCTGCCAACACTGATACATTGTTGATAAAATTATGAAAAACTGACACTAAATATTTGCTTCGTAGTCAGAAGTGAGGAAGCGTTTGCTGAGGAACAATATATCCACAATATGAAGCTTAAATCAACAACATGTGCTGGCCAGTCTTAAAACAATATAAAGATCAAATTATATAATGGTTGTACTATTGTACCTGGAAGAATGAGCATTGGTAGAGTCCACAAATAACTTGTACTTTCAAGGCGAAAGTCTGAGCGACTTTTCGGTCGGACTCGGACCATTATCAAGACGCAAGTTTCCTCTAATAATAATAATCCTAAGGGTGGAAAATTTGCCAGTTGTTCCAACCACGGTATTATGACTTTATTATTTGTAAAGACATATTACGTGCAGAGCAAATTTGTATTTACAGACGATGATTTTTCCTAAGAAGAGCTTTATCAAGTCTTATTACAGCTGCAGTTAGAGAATAACTTCTCTAAATGAAAGTTTGTATTTAACACCTCATTACCAATTTTGTCAACACACCTTACTACCGGAATTGACCATTTTGACTTTTAGTCAATAGGAAAAAATGTTCTACGGGCAACTTTGAAAAGAGCAGCTAGTGATCTGCAATTGGTAAAGCTGAAATATTATAAAATATAACTTTGGCATAATATTGGTTGAGTTGTAAGTTTTAAAATGGCTACATGTTACCTGTACGCCAGTTGACTAAACAAAACAAAATACTTTGAGCTTAAAAATAGGGATCAAACTAAATTCTCTACGTATATAAACAGATTCACCTCTCTGAGTATATAGAGTGACAGATACACGCTTCTAGAGTCATATACAGAGATTTGCATCTCTCGGTGTGTTTTTACTAGGGGATCCACACCTCTCGGTTTGTATACACCGATATATACCTCTCGGGGTATATTCACCGAGTTTCACACCTTACGGTGTATATACACTATGATACAATCCTCTCAGTGTTTATCCCCCCCCCCTTATAAAACGAAGAGGACAAAGAAAAATACATTAAAATATATACGAAGCTTTTCGTTTGGAGCCTTAAATACTCTCATTATCGGATGAAGAGATAATACAGAATCTAAGCTTTTATTATAGCGACGTCTCGCCAGATGGGAGCAAGACGAGCAAGATGTCATTAAATAAGCTTAGGTTCTACACTGTCATCACCCACTCGTCAGGTATCAGCTTCTTTCAGCAACTCGGTATACTGTCATCGGTATACTGGCATTAGTATATTGTCATCAGTATACTGTCATCCTATAAACACTTGTTAAGTCAGTTTACATAAAGCTGTGTCGCAATAATATACATTTTTGAAGTACTTTGGGACTCTTGGTGTTAATATAAATTGTATATAGAAATATATAACGAATTTAACTCGTATTTTTTTTTAAATGGCCTGTCTACTCAGTGTTTAAAATATGTAAATAAGCGAAAAATATATTGAACATATATTGCCTCACTGTCTTTGCTGTTAATGAATTGCATTTATAAATGCAGAAAAATAGGAGAAAGTCTTGTAAAAGTTTTTTTTTATATTTAGCATTTCTAGGATGTGTGCGTAAGCGAGAGCTTCGATGAGAAGTTGAATATGCCTCACACCAACAGTTTCCAATATCGTTAATGGTATAACTCTGCTTCTTCAAAGACTTTTCAAGGACTGCGTCGAAATACCTTCATCACTCACTAAGGGCCTACCACCGAGTGCATATGTATATATATATATATTATATATATATATATATATATATATATATATATATATATGTATATATATATATGTTTTATATATTATGTGTGTGTGTGTGTGTGTGTGTGTGTGTGTGTGTGTGTGTGTGTGTGGGGTGTGTTTGTGTGGGGTGTGGTTGTGTGTGTGGTGTGTGTGTGTGTGTTTCGGTGGAATATGTTTGAATGGTTAGTTGTGCAGAACTATTTAAAACTGGTCAATTAGCAAAATATTTTAATTGTCGTTTTAAAATATATTTTTTTAATTTTTAAATGTTAATGTAAAATTGTTAATTTGCACCAAAAGATCTTAGAAAACTTACCTAACCTTATTATAACAAGAACAATTTATTTTAGCCTAACCCAACTAAATACATTTTAGAATTGTTTACAACAATTTAATGCTAAGCAAACACAGTGAAATATATTTTTTTCGTTAGGTTCAGAATGATTTGCGAAATTATTGCATACACAATTTCACTTGTCTGTTGGCAAATAAACGTTGCTTTTAAGCAAGATCGCAAGTTTGCCTTGCAAAAATAATAATTTTTTATTTAGTGAGTTATGTTTTTATGGTCTCTCCTGTTTTGTCGAAAAGAACAAAGTTTGGGATATTTTTGAAATTCAAGAACTGTATAGTTAAAATATAAGATTGTATGTGCGAAATAGGTAATATTTAGTGTTTATGCACCTGGATGCTTACGAGTTGTAAATATTCTCACAGCCACTAAAGCGAGTCATTACGCCACCGTAGATACTGGTTCTAGTATTTCTGAAGAAAACAGGTACGGGAGGGGAACTAGTCATACAAAATGTAAGATACAAAATAGAGCATCCAGCTGGTGGTGTCAAATGCAGATCTTTAGGGATGGTGTTGATACAGGTCAGAATAACGGGTGTTTTTCTTATCACCCCCGGTTCGCCGTGTATCAACACCAGTCCTGTAACATAGGATGCTCGGTAATTCTTGAGCTGTCGCCACGTATGTTTCTCGAAAAAGATATCTCTAGCAAACAGTATTATAATCAAGATTCTCGGCCATACCACCCCACCCTCCTTGCACGCGCAGCACCGCCGTAACACACCCGGCCCCCCACCCCTTCTCACACCACCATTCCCACAGCCCCACATCCACAGATATATACACTATAATTATAAGCATAACTTCTTCGCAAACATATGTTTTGTATTATTTTTCAAGACTGATGGACTGAACACATCGACTACTAGATTGTGGGACTGTGTCTAATTGTTTGCATGTGTCTAATTTATCAACGTGTCGGTTCTCCTGAACCACATTCATCTACTAAGGAAAAAACTTAAATAAATATACTTAAAGAGAAAGAAATCTCAAATATTTATAATAGGCCATAATCTAGGGCAAAACTAACTCTTCACCAAGGCAAGCATGGGTTTAGGCATAAGTCGCTTATGCCACTTCGTAATAATGGAACCACTATGTTGACATGGTCTTGGATGCAAAGTGAGGACAAACTAAAATTCAGACGTAGTATACACAGATTTTGTGAAAGCCTTCGACAAGTTGCGGATCATGGTGTGATTGCACAACAAATATGTTTTGTTGATAAGGGTAGATACGGGGGAATTTGGGGTAAATCTTATCTTTTAACTTGTGGTCTAACATTAGAACACAATGAAACAATAGTAAACACAGCATAGTCAAAACGCGTAAGCGAACACTAAGACACTATATATTAGAAAAATTTCGGTCATGGCCTTGATCACTACTAACATACAATAAACATGTTTCTACGTGGAGAAGCAAGAAGGTTCTGCAACACGATGTAGTTGCATTGTCCCATCCTGGAGGCTGATGAACCTACTGAGAGTCCCTTTTAAAATTTAACTGTTTTTCATCACACGAGCTGGAAACAAGAGGGAAAAAGAGGGAAACATAACTGGGAATGCCACAACTACAACATGCTCAGCTAAATGATAAGAAATTATTGTTGGTAAACATGGGCAAACGACAGCCAGAATGACAATGTGACCCGGGGGGGGGGGGTTGGTACATGCGAAT